TTTTTTTTTTTTTTTTAACAATGAGAATTCTTTTGTGTAAATTTAATTTTTCTTCATTTAGGATAATAAATTAAAATGCTAGTTGTCTTTGATACACTGCTGAGCTAATTACCTGAGAGTAACAAGATGAAAATGAGGATTAAATATCTCACATGTTGTTTATTACATAGTTAACATTTATTGCCAGTCAAGCTAAATTGTGTTACCTTTGTATGGCAGGCAGTGCAGTCTGAAATTCTCTTGAGTAATTGATATGGCTCTTGCTGACTGGGGGGGGTTCAGTATTTGAAACTGCCTTGTGGTGCCCCACGTTGGGCGCCATATGTCGGAGACTTTGTCCCCGATCACGGATTACTGGGGGGCAGAACAGGCAGGGTCTCAAGGTGGGAGCGGCATCAGTAAGCAGAGATCCTAGAAAAGGGGGGAAAAAGGGAGCGGGCGGAAAGACACAGGAATTGGAGTTGGGTGAAAGTCATCCTGCTCTGCCTTCAGCAGAGGTTTATTTTATACATTTCAAGCAGGCAGAGGGATGGTATTAGCATATGAAATGGGCTGAGATCATGATCACCTTTTTTCTAAGAATAGTCTGAGGTCATTTTGACCTTTGAGATTATTACATTTTTAAAATCAATCTATCAAGGTTTTTGTAATCTCAGCCCATTTCATATGCTAATGTCATCCCACTGCTTGCTTGAAATGTTTAAAATAAACCTCTGCTAAAGGCAAGAGCAGGAAGACTTGCACCCAACTCCGATTCCCGTGTCTTCCTCACCCCCGCTCCCCTTTCCCCCCCTTTTCTAGGAATCTCCACTAGCCGCCGCCACTCCCACCTTGAGACCCTGCCTGTTCTGCCCCCCAATAACCCGTGATCAGGGACAAAGAGTCTCCGACAGCCTTGGAAATGAGAAGACTTGGTTAGAAGGCACATCAACAACCAAGTTGTCTGGGACATCTTTGCCACTGTTGGGTGGCATGTGGACACAGGTTGGGCTGTATTGGTCATGAGTTCATGCTGACATTGCTGAAGCTGGGAAAGCTTAGATGACAGCCTTAGACGAACATTTTCTATTACTGGTAATAAACCATGATATGCCTTGTAAATAGCAGCATCTTAAAAATTCATTGAATTAGGTCAGACATAACTTTTTTTTTTTAATATAAAGGCAGATTCCTCCTGCCTTTGGGTAGGGGTAAGTAGAGGTGACACTGAAGCAGAAACTTGAGTATCTGAACTATCTAGCCAGGACTATAAGCAAAGGTAGTAACAGCAGGAGCAGTTGTCAGGTGCTAATAACTCTGTATGCTCATGGGTTTTCATCCTGTTTGTCACCTTGTATCACCAAGCTTTTTTTTCCACCTATGTTCTGTTGCCCTTTGATATCCAAGCTTAGTGATTGAAAACAATGTACAGTCATTTCACTGGCTGGTTTGATACCAGATCTGTTTGGAAAATACTGGTATAAATTGTTTTTATATTCTAGTGGAATGTTTCATTTAAAGAAATCTGTGGCCATATCGTTTAAAGCACTTGTACTGCCTATATTTGTTTTTTAAAGTTTATATTTAAGAATTCTTTACTGAGTAAATTGTTTGGTTCCTGTATTTGCATAGGAAGGGGTATATAATTCCTATGTTTTGGGTGACAAGTAGTGATGGATTTATTCAGAAATTTAGATTGTTAAATTCTGATTATATATATCCAGTTTTCTTTAATGAGATGGAGTATGTTCATTTTCTTACTTAAAAAACTGCATATTAAAAATGGATCTTTTTTTGCTAGCTTGTATTCTAGGACTTTTTGTAACTTAACATGATTTTGTATGGATTGTGGAATTTTAAAGCTGCTCTGCAGCTTTAAGTGTGGGTATAATGTGTTGATGAAAACTGAAGATTTGCTCTAAATGAGAAAACTTTGCTACCAAAAGCTTTTTAACACTGAAAAATAAGTTGTGTGAGCTTACCCTTACCCTGAAAATAGTTCTAGTGAGCGCAGATAATTTACATGTCATTTACATAATATATTTACCACCTGGAACTTATTGTAAACTGAAATGTCGGCAGTCAGGTGCCTATGTTAGGTTGTACTGCTACTAGCTACATGTGAAAATATTTTTCTTCAATTTAGGCGTTTCCCATGATGAACTGCTTGAATTAGCAAAGTTTCATTTTGGTGACTCTCTGTCCACACACACAGGAGAAATACCAGCTCTGCCTCCCTGCAAATTCACAGGAAGTGAGGTAGGGCAAGCCACTTAAGCTAGAAAAGTCTTTTGCGTTTCTTATATTTGTGGTTTACAAAAATGTACATGACTAACAAGAGTAAACTGGAAGAAATTAAAATTGAAACTTAGGAAAGGATGGCCTCATTTCTTACATTCTTTCCTATTCCAGATTAACTAACTGCCTGTTTTTCTTAAGGAAGCAAGATTTTAATAGCACTGTTACAATTTGGTCTTTCTGTGCTTTTTCTTTGGCACTATACCCATCTCATGCTATAAAGTTTAAAAGTAACTTCATTTTGAAAAATCCCAAGTTTTGATTTTCACTTCAAGTTTACTCTTGGCTAACTAAGTTTGGCCCACAGTGCATTTCTGGGGAATACCTGTTAGAGGAAGATCTTGAAGACAATCAAGCTTTGAGCCTTATGTGGGCTGATGGTCTCCTTAGGGATGATGCTCAAAGTAGTATCTGCAAAGAGGCCTGATGTTGGCAGTTGCATAGAACTGTAAGATTGGCAGTACAGAATATGCTTATGTGTCACTATTAGCTTAAACTGAGATACAAAAATTCAGATTGATAAACAAAAAATATATAAATACAAAAGATATATTTCTACCAGTGAAATAATGTAAAATCTTTTGGACCATGTAATTATCTAGTAACTATGACTACAGTATTTCCATTAGAGATCATTCAGTGAAATTTTTCTAGATTAGATTGTGCAACATGAGGCCTGCTAAGTTTAAAAACTGTCATGGTGAACACTTCATCTTTGCAATTAATTGTACTGGTGAATTTGTTTCTTGTTAAGCATGTTCCATTAGCGAATATCTTCACTGGGGTTCAATTTTCTTTATCTTACTAGATTCGACTGCGGGATGACAAGATGCCTTTGGCTCACATTGCAGTAGCTGTTGAAGCTGTGGGTTGGGCACATCCAGATACCATCTGCCTTATGGTTGCAAACACACTGATAGGCAACTGGGATCGTTCTTTTGGGGGAGGAATGGTAAGTGATGTTAAATAAATACAATGGAAATCTGTAACTTTGACTTTCAAGATATAAACTGACCCTGGTCTGCATCCTGAGCTAGAGAAAAGTAATTTTCTTTGCCATGAAGTTTGTTAGTGGAGTAACTGGCAAAATTTGAATGAGGACAGAATTAATTAATAGTACTATATCACTACCAGTATGCTAATTTTAATAATTATACTAAGGTTAATATCCTTGTTTTTTCAAAGTACACACTAAAAAGTATATAGAATCAAAAAGTATACTTAAAAAAGAGAATAACGCAAATGTGGTAAAATAACAGGGATTTTTGGATAATAGGAATTTATCCAAAGGAAATATTTTGTACTATCTTTGCAATTGCTCTGAGTCTGAATTTTTTTCAAACACAATTTGAAAGTACAATATACTTTGTACATTGACAAAATACATTTCATATAAGTATCTGAGGCTTCACATGCAGCATAATTTCAAATCTTTTAAGTGTACATAGCCTAGAACCCTACACATTGGATTAATTATAGCAGTACCATTTTAAAAGTAGGTTCAGCAACTTGTTAATCACTATTATTTTTACATCATGCATTTCTTTGGGGTGCATGCATTGGGCAGTGAGATAAAGGTAAAATTCATTGAGACTAAAAATTTCACTTATTACTGAGATGTTGTTGGATAAAATGCCTCAGGACATTAACTTTTTGCCAGTTATCTCATTTTGCTCACTGATAATTTCAGCATGTATACCTACATTTCGCTAAGACAGTCTTTTTCCTTACAGAATTTATCTAGTAAGCTGGCTCAGCTCACCTGTCATGGCAACCTCTGCCACAGCTTCCAATCTTTCAATACTTCCTACACTGATACAGGATTATGGGGGATCTATATGGTTTGTGAACCAGCCACTATTGCAGACATGGTACATGTTGTTCAAAAAGAATGGTGAGAAAATAATTTAAATCTAGTATATGATTCATATTTCAGACTAGTTTCCTCTTTACAATGATATTAGCATTTAATTGAGAACGACACTAAGTAGTAGCAGTGGTTGACATTTTTAGATCATATACTTTAGCCTAAAGTTTAAAATAAACTTAATTTTTTGGCTTTAAATGTCAACTAGAAGCTTAGAAAAAAATCTCAAAGCTATCTGCCTTGGAAAGAACAGTGTTAATGAAAAACCTCATGTTGCCATTGTTAAAGAAAAATGTGTTTAATTAGCTAGTATTTTAAGGCCGAAAGGCACACAGCATCTTGAAAAGCTATAAAGCTCTGTATAGCTCCTTACTACCACCATTCTTAAATGGTGCCCTCTAAATAAATTAATTAAATTAGAATCAACTGGATTCTTTTGAAAAATTCACTATGACCCACTGATCTTTACCCAAAGATGGGCATTTATTAAATCTCAAAATGACCATTCTCAAAACATGGTCCATCTATGTTTATATTGTACCTCTGGTGCTAATTATGTCATATCTGAAAAATAGACAATACCAGGTTAGTAATCGGTAATATTTTCTTTGTGTTAAGTTATTGAAGTTATTAGTAATTCCTGCTTTTTACTAAGTGAAAATTATACATGGATTTTGTGGCATAATATATATCATGTTGTAACTAATAAATAAAATACTTGACTTTTTGCTTCTAAATGCCTTTTAGGATGCGACTTTGTACAAGTGTCACTGAAAGTGAAGTTGCACGAGCCAGAAATCTTCTGAAAACAAACATGTTGTTGCAACTTGATGGTAAGAATATAAGATCTAGTTCTATTATCTAGTTGACCCTTGAGCAATGCCGAAATTAGGGGAGCTAACTGTGCAGTGAAAAGTCCTTGTGTAACTTAGGGCTCCATAAACACTTAACCCCAGTTCCATAGCACGGGGGTAGGAAAGACTGGTTTCAGTACTGCTCCCCTCCAACACCAAAATTTAAGAGTACTCAAGTCACTTAAAGTCAGCACTCTACCTACAGGTTCCGCATTTGAGGATTCAATTGCTATCAACTTCGTTGAAACTCAGAATGTGGAACCTGCAGATGGAAGGAAATCCACAAGTGGAACAGTGCTGCTCAAACTCATGCTGTTCAAGTGTCAACTGTATTTGATTTATATTCTGGTATTAAATTTTTCCTTTTCTTTATACAGGTTCAACCCCAATATGTGAAGATATTGGTAGGCAAATGTTATGTTATAATAGAAGAATTCCCATCCCTGAGCTTGAAGCAAGAATTGATGTAAGTAGTGCTTAAAATTTGTTAGATTTTGTGAAAATGGTCCTTGTTACAAAAGCTGAAGTACAGATAGTAAATCCTAAAAAAAGTTGCAGTCAGAGAATTAGTCTTTACAGTGAAATGCTATATGCGAGTTATCTTCTCTATTTCAGGCTGTAAATGCTGAGACAGTTAAAGAAGTATGTACCAGATATATTTATGATAAGAGTCCAGCTATTGCTGCTGTTGGTAAGCTTGTCTCCTTTGTTATGCAGTAAATTGGCCAAATACTTTAAATTCTATTTTAACTTATTTTCCTCTTAAATCCTTAGGTCCCATTGAACAGCTACCAGATTTTAACCAGATCTGCAGTAACATGTGCTGGCTTCGTGGTTAAAAATACTCCTAATTAAAATATTTTGAACATATTATAACAGAGACCTTAAGTTTTAAACTATCAATATCTAAAGAAAAAAAATTAATTTGAAGCAAATACTATCAAACTTTCAAAGGATTGAGGACTATACCAGAGTGAATAGCACACTTTCAAATTATCACCATAAGTAAAATTTTAAGAATGAAAATTGTACATTATTTTCAGTTTTATTATAAAAATGCACACAACAAGGATTGTCAAGTCATTTCTTGGCTCTACTTGCATTTAGCACTTGCTCTTGAGCAGCTTTCTTTGCTTTTACCATCTCCACAAGTTCCTAGGAAAGAAGGTTTTAAGATACTCAGAATTTGCATACAAAACATACACATTTATGCTAAATACTAACAATATCACAATTCAAATTAGATAACAGAAAAAGGAAAAGGTAGTAAGGCTAGTTAAGAGCTAGTAAGGCTCTAAAGTTATTCATTTCTTTGTAACAACTGGCCACACAACTGTTGTATCGAAATAAGCAGGAAAGTTAGATATGGAATGTACACTGTAAAAATAATGTGAAAATGTAAAACCTTATAACGTTTCATGCAGTCCTTTTTTGTCCTGCCAGGCACTGCTTCTGCTATTTTTTCCCATCTTTCTGGTGTATTTACTGGGTACGTTTTCAAGGCTTGTTCCAAAAGCTTCTGTTCTTCTGTTGTCCAAGGGGTGAAATCTGTGCTTGGACCTGTAAGAGAAATTCTTATTTGAAAAATACCCTAACCCAGAAAAATTTCTTACTAGAAGATCCTTTGGTGTGCAACATATCTTGATAAAATTAAAATCTGTGATGAGTCACATTAAACAAATTAATTTTAGAGCTGAGAAACACACAAACCTATTAAGTAGTGAGAAAATTTAAGCACAGTAAAATACTTGCCTGACTATTGGTCTCTTACAACCTCACACTGTATTTACTAGACTTCAACAAAAAAAATCAATTTTAATTTATTAAAATTGTGATGTTAGGTTCAAAGATACAATCACAAATTTTAAGGACTTCTGAAAAAACTAGTACCTAGCACTAGAAAAGAACTACCTAACACATTTAAACTTTTACAGATAGATGAGACCCTGAAAGCAATCTAGCAAAATTATGCCAAGTGCCCAAAGTTTTCCATACTGTAGAGCATATCATGTTAATTGTGACATTTCATACATGTCTCACAAACATTTCCCACTTTGTGGAAAAATGAAAATATTAAATGGCTAAAAAAATGTGACTGATATATTACTTAAGTTAATGGATGATAGGCACTTTAGCAGAACTTACCTGGTACAAAGTGAAGCCTAGAAATCTAAGTTATTTCCTAATGAAAAACACACAGTATAGGGCCCTCTCCTGTGGCACAACAGGTTCAAGTGCAGCACTGTAAAGCTGACTGAGGCCACCTTGGTGCAAGTTCGATCCCAGGCTCCTGAGGCGATCCACAAGGCACAGCAGACCTCTCATGTCTTGCCTGCTGCTCCCCTCAGCAGTGTACTCTGTCAGTCGGCCTGTTCTGCTCCCTACTCTGTCTCTGGTGAATCCTCTCACTGCCCCTGTACCTCTGGCCTGTACCCCAGTTCTATATTCATAAATAAATAAATAAATCTTTTAAAAAGAGAACATTTTAGACAATTATTTTTTTCAAAATCAGGAAATTAACCTTGATAAGACCGTTAGCTAGAGCTAGACTACTTGAATCACATTAAGTCCAGTATCCATTAATACTTTGTAAACCTGGTAAACAGCCCCTCTGTAATTACATCTGAAATATAGGAACTGTAATTCTCAGTGGCATTAGCTGAAATAAATTTTCCTGAAATTTATAAATTTCCTGAAATCATCCGTTCATTCTCAACATACCTTAGCTTTAGGGTTTACATATTTTTACACTGTGGAGATACATAAGCAGTTTCTACTTTCAGAAAGAAGTCAAATTCAGTTACCTTCAAATCGTTCTGAAGGGGCTGCATTGTCTGCTTGAGGCACCACTCCATGTTCTTTTTTAAATTTATCAAAAGCCTTTTTGTTTATGTCATCTTTTTGATGAGGGTCTAAGAAATTAAAAAAATTCTAATTTATCACAGGTCATGTAGTCTTTCATTAAATTGCGTAATTATTTTTAAAATATACTTTTAAAGTAACAATGAAGTTGATTTTGCATCTCACCAAGTTTCTGAAGACTCTTGGCTTTGCTAATAACATCTTTGGCAGTTCTCTTGACTCCAGAAGAAGAGTGTATGTTCATGTAATTAGCAATAACTTCCCATCTAGAGCAATCAACAGAATAAATATAGAGGGAGAGGGGAGAAAGCCCAAACAAAACCCAGGGTGACTCTTAGATTTTTACTGTGGAAGCATCAGTGTATCTCCAGAATTAGTTCTATATTGGTGTCTAATTCTTAATATTACCTAGACTAGATAAACGACATTGTTCTCTATAAAATAGAGGGCATTGGACCTCTGGCTTTGAGCACTAAACTCAGACTCCATAGTAAACTCAGGTTTGAATTAGTTAAGAACAATTGTTGATGGTGAAGATTTATGTCATGGATCTTTCCTGAGACACCGATGGAGTGCCTTGCTGTGTCTATGTGTGTTGGTGTAAAGTTAAGACCAGCAGGTTCAAGATGTACTTTGCTTTTCACACTCTCCATTGTGGCACAGAGGTCTGGATGGCATCTGTCTAGACTTATCTCTGAAAGTTTCTGCTATAACCAGTGTTACTGTTTGGATGCTTGTCTGCATTATCCTCAGGCTCTAGGATGTCTCAAGTTTCATTAAAACTAGTACCTTGATGCTGGGAAAACTGGGAAGCTACATGCAAAAAAATGACACTAGATCACTACCTCACACCATACACAAAGATCAACTCGAAGTGGATTAAAGACCTAGACATAAGAATGGAAACCATAAAATACCTGGAAGCAAAGAAGGGCTAAATACTACTACACGACATACACTTCAGTAACATCTTTGAAGATACAGCACTCAACGCAATGATAATGAAGGAAAGGATAAACAGATGGGACTACATCAAGTTAAAGAGCTTCTGTACAGCAAAAGAGACATTAAAAAAAAACACATCCAATTGATTGGGAAAAAAATTTCTCACACAAAACTAGTGATAAAAGATTGATCACAAGATAAAGAACTGGTGAAACTCAACAAAAATTAACAATGCCATCAGACAATAGAGGAGCTAAAAAGACTTCTTCATGAAAAAATGGTCAACATCACTTGTAACAAGGGAGATGCTAATTAAAACCACAACGTGATACCACCTCACAACAGTGAGAATGGGACACCTTAAAACAACTAGCAGAAACACACGTTAGCAAGGATGTGGAGAAAAACGAATTCTGCACTGCTGGTGGGAATGCAAACTAGTACAACCACTATGGAAAACTGTTTGGAGGTTTCTCAAATTGCTAAAGATGCAGCTTCCATATGACCCAGCAATCCCACTCCTAAGTATCTACCGAAAAGACACAAAAACAATGATTCAAAAAGATACCTGCACCATGTTTATTGCTGCCTTATTTACAATTGGAAAGATGTGGAAACAACCCAAATGCCCAAAAGTGGATGACTGGATTAAAAAGATGTGGTACATATACACAATGGAATATTACTCAGCAACCAAAAAAATAAACACGTCTTTTGCAGCAACATGGATGGAGCTGGAAAAGATCATGCTTAATGAAATAAGCCAGAAAGAAAAGGAAAAATACCGATGGTTTCACTCATACCAGGAGTTTAAAGGGCCAGGGGAGAAAATAATAATAATGAATAAATATATACCAGAAACATTTTATGGGGGTGGAGTGTGGAATGGGATCAGAAACAGTGGGGGGAGGGAAGTGCACTGGACTATGGTGATGGCACATGGGTGATGAGAAGCCCATGGGGATTACAACTGCGATGGAAAAAGGCACAAAATGATGTAAAAGTCAAACAAACAAAAACTAGTACCTTGAATTTGTTCCAGCAGGGAAGAGGTTCACAGCTTTAATTAGTAATTGCAGATCATCTTCTGACCAATTTTTACTGCCATTTCCACCTCCACCAGTTGATTTTTCTGCATTCTTAGATGCTTGTCGCATACGCGCCTCAGCTTCCTCTTTCTCTTTCCTAATTTGCTCATTTATTTCTTCTATCTACAAACGTCATAGATAAGTCAGGGACTTAAAGCATTTTGCTACTCTACACTTCCTTTCTGGGTTGGCCTTTGTGCTCAGTACCATCCTGAGACTATCCTTCTCCAAAGCCAACTCCTAAACCAACTCTTCCTGCTGCTGCTTCTTCACTGGCTTCCAGGCTGCACAGTTTGGCTAGATAAGCCAAGAACCACCCAGTCTGCATTCCTGTCATGTGATACCTATTTGACTTGGACATTACTTTGTAATTCTGCAGTCACTGGCTAATTCACCGATTAGGTCATTTCAAATCTAACTGTGTATCTACCCTTTTAGCAGATACTCCCATTTATTCTGTATTAAAAGCATAAAGGCATAACAAAGTTCCTCCACTTTAAGTTCTACCTTTACACTGTCCCTTCCAGTCTACTTTCAAACACAAAGTATGAAAAAGAAAAGCTTTGTACATCACCTTGTTGCTTCTGTCAGCTACTTCATTTAGAGTCATCTTTGACTCATTTCTGTACTTCAATCCTTAGACCTAGATATCAAGTCCCAGTGATTCCAATAATTTCCATCACCACGCTCACAGTCCAAATCCTTCCAGTGAAAGTTTTGTTTGCTCACAGTCCAAATCCTTTCAGTGAAATTTTTGTTATCTAGTCACACCTATTGAATATATCCTGCCCACTGATTAATAGTACAATGTTACTAACCATTTGCTACTAAAAGATCTGCAGTAAGAGAAACCAACCTCCATGGTTTTAAAGTCAATAAAAATTGCTTAATTTGGCTCTACTTTTCCAAAACTTTCTATTCCTACCTTATTTCAGAGTTTACCTTGTTCCCCTGACATTCCCTGTAACACTA